GGAGAACCAGTAGCGGAAATTTTGAGCAGTTCAGAAAACCAGCAAATATCACCTCTGGCTGACCCTGGAGTGGGGTGGGAATGGAGATTTTGCAGTATCCTTCTCCTGCCATGCCCAAGCCATGCCCACCAAGCCACACCATGTTCACCAAGCCACGCCCACAGAACCGGTAGTAAAAAATTTTGGATTTTACCACTGATCTCCTTTCCTTACCAATTAGTAACTGATGGACAACACTGTTAAAAAGAATCCAAACATAAGTAGTCATTTCAACCCTAAGTCTCTCAGGGCAAAAAGCTTCACTTTCTTTTGAGGCTCTCTGTAATAGGCATCATTAATTACCTCATCAATAGAGTATTGTATTCTTCTTCATTTGTATCTTTCCTAGCTTCTGTCTTTTGACAGTTATGTCCTACCTTTCTTTATGCCTTATTACATATTAAAAATGCATTGCCACTGCTCCTGAACTACCTGTTATGTATTATCCAAAAGGAAGATTCAAGTCAACTTTCTTTGGAATGTAACTTTTGCTTTTTATATAAATATATCTGTGTTTTATTCATTTGTCTTCTTTTTCTGGCCTTAATATGTCATCCCCAAAGCCTGAGCCGAGGTGATAATACAGGGTGTCTCAGGAAACAGTTGACAATGGGAATTCTTGGAGGTATAAATCAGGCTGCTGCATTCTTGTTTGTTTAATTCTCATCTCATGGGAAATGTGAGGAAAGTTCACTTCCAAGGGAAATTTTTCCCTGTGGAGAAACAAGAGTATGCCCCATCCTCATTATTAAACACTAACAAAACAGTGGATGGTGTTTTTGTGGAGAACTGAAAGATTTGAAGAATTTCTGCTGTGCTTTCAGTGTGCCCTGCTTCCAGATTCCTAGAAGGACCATCCTAGTTACAGATGGCAACCAATCTCTAACTGGCAAGCAATTTATAACCCTGTTTAGTTAGTTATCTCAAAGGTGCTTTTTCAAAAGGCAACTGGACTTTCTTTGTTTTTTCTTGAAGACATTTCACTGAAGAAGCTTCCTGGATGAGAAGCAAAACATCTTCAAGGAAAAAACAAAGAAAGTCCAATTGCTTTTTGAAAAAGCACTTTTGGGACAACCATGACCTGGATGACTGAGAATCTCCATAGACGTTTAGTTAGTTATTTGATTTGCAGGTAGTCCTCGACTTACAACCATTAGCTTAGTGACCGTTCCAAGTTACAACAGCCCTGAATATAGTGGCTTATGGCCATTTTTCACACTTATGACCAATGGTCATGTGATCAAAATTCAGATGCCTGACAACTGGCATGTATTTATGATGGTTGCAGGGATCACATGAGCACCTTTTGCAACCTTCTGAGAAGCAATGTCAATGGGAAGCCAGATTTACTTAATAACCATATTACTAATTTAACTGCAGTGATACACTTAACAAATGTAACAAGAAAGGTTGAATGTAAAATGGAGCAAAATTCACTTAAATAACTGCCTTGCTTAGCAATGAAATTTTGGGCTCTATTTTGGTCATATGTCGAGGACTACATATATACTTTGGCTTTTCTACAGGAGCTCAGGCAATGTATATGTCTCTCTCCCTCTCTTCATTTTTCCCCCACAACAACTCTTTGAGGTATGTTAAGTGAGACTAATTAGTCTAAAGCAGGAATCCCCAGCCCCTGGTAGTAGGCCCCAGCCTGTTCAGAAGTGCATGTGCACGCAGCTTCCCTTACATGAACGGCGGCGAAAGAGAAACTCCCCTCATGCAAGCAGCGGGCACTTGCACTCACACACGAAACTCCCCTCTCATGAGTGGCAGGGGCACGCACCTGCCAATCACACAAATGGAGCTGTGCATACCACTCTCACAGAACCATTCCCTCTCCCCCTTCACGCCAAGCTGCCAGACCAGAAAGGTTGAGGACTGCTGGTCTAAAGCCATCCCATGACTGAGGGGACTAAAATGTGTATTTCCCCCATTCCTGTGCAACAATTACCGTTACCATACATTGGCTCTAATAAATTCATAAAGAACAAACATCCACTAAACTGGGGAGAAAATAGGTAGGCTTGGATATACTATCAAAGATATTAACCTGTTCTCAATTTGTTAATATGCTTTTTAGTGCTGTAAGAATTTTTTTTCAGATCCATATCATCAGAGTTTTATTATGTTAACTCCTAACATACAAACTGATGTAGGATCGATACAAGTAAAGACTCATGCAGATGTTGCTATGATTTGATTCCAATAGTGATTATTCCATGTGGCAAGCTATTCCACATGCAGCAACTTATCATGTAGTCCCCACAAAATGGCAAAAAGAACTTTAATCTGTGGAGGAAACAGCTGTACATACAGTATTTGGCTTTCTTCATTCAGCAAACTTCAGAGGTAGCCATTCAGAGTGACCCATGCATAGCTGCTATTCATGTGTGAATGGCCCCTAAATTGCAACATCCCAATATGTGGTCTATCCCTTGGGATGTATTCCTTTTTAATGAATTCATTTCTGCAGTTTCTCTACCACCTCAATACCATCAGGCCCTAGAATGGTATACAAATATTCATGATAATAATACAATTGTAATAAATTTAAAATTTGAGTATAAGTAGAATTTTTGCAGAATCAAGCAGGGATCTAACTGAAGTAAAGATGAAGGTCCTGTACTTAACACACGTACACATTTAATATATGTTTCAGGTGAATTAATTCTGAGTATTTGTTTAGACAGTATTTGTCTATATTTAGACAGTATTTGTCTATACAAGTAATGCTTATTGTTTTAGAAAACGTGTTCCAGTAGAGCTGTATTATTTTGGTTGTTTCTCTCTTGACAACCTGGGGTATGTGTGTGTATGTGTTATTTTCCATAAAATCTAAGCAGCTGCACTTGAATTTTGATGAGGCTATCAGACATGCTCCTGAAGAGATATTTTGGTTTATTTCTTTAATAGTTCCTACTTTGTGATAATTACTTCCTGTTCTGAGGTTTTTCCTCATACTGTAATTTTTCTACCGTGTTTCCCTGAAAATAAGACATGTCCAGATAATAAGCACAATCAGGCTTTTCAGCCCATGTGATAATATAAGCCACCCCCACAAAATACCCCCCCACCAACTAATTACACGCATGCGCAGCAGGTCCCGCTATTTCCTCTGGTTGCTTGCCGCGCAAACAAAATGAGTTGAGGAGGCAAGGCTGGAGGGGCGAAGTGCAGGGACATGCCCTCCCCTCCCAGTTCTTCACACCGGCCGAGCGGCCCAACATGTCCCACCCCACCCCAGTGGCAACAGCAGCCTGTCTGCTTCCCTTCCCCACCGTCTCTTTATTTTTTTTTTTATTAAAAAGTTTTTTATTTTATAAACAAACAGACATACAATATGTAATCAATCAGTCAATATATCATCTGAATACATCTTTTTTCCATCTTACTCCTCCAATAATTATCATATCTTAATATTATCATTTTATTTATTATTACATTTTCCCCACATTTACTTTTCTATTAAAACATTTATCTATGCAGCACTTATCGAGCACTTATCTTTATCGAGAGAGGTGGCAGGTGGGGCGGGGGAGAAGCAAGACACGTGGAGCGAGATGTGATTCCCCTTGCCATCTCATCTCCCCCCCTCGCCAGGCATGGCAGGGCTCCTGCCCCTTGCTTAGCCACCCGCCCCCTTTAGGGATGCAATTTGGGGATGGCAGGTGGGGTGGGCGAGAAGCGAGACGCAGGTCTTAAGTGTCAAGCTCTGTCGCTTTCCTCGCTATTGTGTCCAGGGAAACACACTGTAAAAGAAAGCCTTCTTGAGAGTTCGAGAAGTTTGATTGAACTCGCGAGAAGGCTTTCTTTTACAGCGTGTTTCCCTGCAAAATGTCGAGGAACGCGACGGAGCTAGAAAGGTAAGACGCATGTCCCGCTTCTCACCTGTCCCCCCCCAAATTGCATCCCTAAAGGGGACGGGTGGCTAAGCAAGGGGCAGGAGCCCTGCCATGTCCGTCGAGGGGGGAGAAGAGACGGCAAGGGGAGCCACATCTCGCTCCACGCGTCTCACTTCTCCCCCGCCCCATCTGCCATCCCTCTTGATAAAGAGATGGCGGGGAAGGGAAGCAGCTGTTGCCATTGGGGTGGGGTGGGACATGTTGGGCCGTTTGATCGGCACGAAGAACTGGGAGGGGAAGCGCCTCCTGCACCCCCAAAATAATAAGACAAACCCCCCCCCCGATAATAAGGCCAAGCCCTTATTTGGTGGATCAAAAGAAAATAAGATCCTGCCTTATTTTCGGGGAAACACAGTAGTCTTAATCTTGTAATTAAAGCTGTAATTCAGAGAAGGAGAAACAAGGCCCTCCAGGTATTGCTTGAATTCCCAACAATCCTAATTAGTATCACCAGTAGAAAGGAATATTCAGAATCTTCAACATCTAAAAGACTTAAATGGCTGTCCCTCAAACCCTCCCCAGCTCTGGCTAATAAGATTAGTTTCTTCTTTACTCTTATCTCAGAGCCCTTGTTCTGTCTGCTTCCCCCCCCCCCTTGTATTATAGCTTTTTAAAGCTTCATCAGCAATACAATAGTTTGATAACTATTTTTTCCCTGCCATTGCTGCAGCTTTTCTGTAAAACATTAAATAGATGAAGTATAAACTTTGCCTTTGTTTTTTTCAATTCGTCTATGCTTTGGCATCAGGTCCCAGCTTAATACTTTGAATGTTTTTCCATCTGTTGTTTTTCATATATGACTCTCAGGACTTTTTGTTATAGATTTTAGCCCTCTTCTGATTTCCTTCCCTTAAGAATCAGAGCTTCTGAAAAGCTTGTTTGCTTGTTTACAGAGCATCCTTTTTTTTTCATTGCAACATACAGAACTAAGATAAACGAAAGGAGATATATAATATAAAATAATTATTGTTATAATAACAATTCAGGGTGGAGGGGGGGAAAATAAACATATGTTGCACATTTAACGATTTGAATTGACCTAAAGGACTGCAGCAGTGGCATCACTCACTGCCCCTTTGAAGCAGAACAGCAGAACTGTGATATGGAGGTTTCTCTGCCTCATTGTCATATACAGACCTTGATATAAAGAATTCTCTGCTGTGCCTCAGTAACTGTATTCATCCACATCGATTAGATATTACCAAGAGCAGAGCAGTGGTAAAGCAGTGTTTTATTTCTTCAGCACCTCTTTACACTCAAAGCTTTTTTTGTCCCCCCCCCCCCGTTCAAAAAAAAAATGAAAGCAAAATCAATGCCTTTGAGAGCATGTGTGCTAGGGTGCTTGTGATGTCCCTTACCTCCCATCTCTATCTGAGCTCAAGAAAATGCAACCTGAGCAATTTCATTAAAAGAAAGAAAGGAGGATTGGTGATTTATGGAGATAATAATCATGTTAAAAGAATATATATACATATATGATTTTGACTTGTAACTGCATACATCGAGGAGACTTGATTTTATCCAGACGATAGGAAAAAAAGGATGCAAGCACTAGAGGAGTCAGCCAGGGTAACTGTTGAAAGAAAAAGTATGTCAGTCATTAAGTTTGTTCTCACTTCTCTAGGCTTTTTATGTTTTAATAGACATAGATTTTACAAAAGATGAACCAGAGGAGCCCTTAGATTTTATCAGTTAGAGAAAAAAAATACAGTTGACTATTATGTAAGAAGTTTTTTTTTTCCGCTACACCTGGCTTACTGATGATTGAACTCCTAGTTCTTTGTACAGACTGAATGAACAAAAGATGTACCGTTCCTTGAAGGTAAAGTTTGCTGGTAATTACTTCAAAGGACTCTCCAAGCAAACAAAGCTGCCTGTGAGCCTTGGGCATGGAGCAGATGTCCTTTGCTTCCATGATATAAATCTTGACCAAGATTTCTTGGCTGATGTCCTGGCAGAAGAAGCTTACTTCTGCTATTTTGTTTCTCAAATCAATTGAAAATTGAATTTGAAGGAGAAAAATTACTACGACATGAAATATTCATAAATCATCTGAAGGCTTAGAAGAAGTTTTTTTTTTTCAGATTATTGAATTTAACTGTGTTCTTTCTTCTCTTTCCTCATCCTCAATCTTGTTTTTTAGTCATGCCAAGCTGACCTTGTAAAGGACAATGGTCACAAATATTTCCTTTCTGTTTTGGCAGATCCTTATATGCCGGTAAGATTAAGTAATCAATCCCCTCTCCTTTCCATTGCTTCCCTTCCCTCCCTCCCATCCATCTGTTTACAACTTATGTGTTGTGTCTTGGCTCACATGCAACTCTTATGTGACTTAATGAGGTTTTGTAGATGGTAAGAGTTCTTACGCAATTCTAATATGCAGTATGCTTTGTTGAATAACAGCAGTGAAAAAAGTAAATATAACTTTTTCCCTCTCCTTAAAGCTATTAAAAATATTGACAGTGTATTCAGGATATTCATGGGAAAATGATTCTTCATGCAATATGACTGAATTAATCTTAGTGAGTTAATTAATATAAAACATTGTGATAGTGTGTTTCTTTGTTTGTTAATTAAATTACTGGCTAGATGGGCTATTCATGCCCTATTCAAAAGGAAGTTATCTGAGATAGTGCTGTTATGCTAACTTCATTTCCCTGACTTCCTCTGCTGAGCACCCTGATGGGAATAGGAGAGTCTATTAATGTCCAGCTGCTTTCCTGTGAGATTCCTTTGTGTTATCACAGTTGTCTTGATTTTGACACTGGGTTGTGCATGCCTTGAAAATGATTCAGATCTTGCACAAATATAGTACTTCCCTGCTATTGATTGTAACAGACCTACTTTTTTCAGGCTTCTGTGGCTCCTTAAAATTAATATATTTCCTAAAGCAACTGGATCTTTTTTCATGAATAGTGGAAAAGTACTGTGTTTTCATGAAGTCTAAAGCATTTCTCCTAAATCATTTATACAGTATGCACAATTCTATTGGATGGGCCCCCAATACTTCTGAGCTGCAGCTCAGAAGTAAATTTTCCTATTCAGCTCTTCATGCTCCAGCTCAAGGAGCAACATATCAACATAGTAGTACATTTCTTCTGCCATTAGCTACATGGAGATAACATGTGAATAGGCTGTAGTCTGTCCATCAGAACAAAATGAAACATCATCATCCAAAAGCTGTTGAATGCTTTATGCTAGAGTAAGGGGAGGCTGTTGCCTTCATCCCTTGCTTTTGGATCAAGGGAACTTGTTTGAGGTTAGTCTTTGGTCTGCTCCTCTTATGTTGAAGTAAAAGATACTACATTTCACAAGGAGCAATACATTTTAATTATTTTTCTTCAATTAAACTATCTGAGTCTTTGTGAATAAGGCCACAGCAGACCTGAAGTTCCATGTGAAAAAGTTACTGTATAAGAATAGATATACAGACAATATTTACTTTTCAACCCTACTTGGGACTCAAAGGTGCTTTTTCAAAAGGCAACTGGATTTTCTTTTTTCTTGAAGACATTTCGCTTCTCATCCAAGAAGCTTCTTCAGTTCTGAAGAAGCTTCTTGGATGAGAAGCGAAATGTCTTCAAGGAAAAACAGAAAGCCCAGCTGCCTTTTGAAAAAGCTCCTTTGGGACAACCATGACCTGGAGGACTGAGAATCTCCATAGATGCCTATCTGAGACCAGAATTTCTGTCGTCAAGTGAAGCAGTTGTTAAGCAAAATGTCACATGATCACACTACTTAACGACAGCAATTGAGGCAGTCCTGGTTGCAGTCACTAGATCAGGAACGTGAATCCATTAAGCCAAACCTTGTTTTTCTTCTGCCTGAAACGAACTGCCTCTGCTTCAACTCCTCCTATCTGCTCTTTTGGCAGTAACAGGGATAGGCAGCAGATGCAGGGCAGCCAAAAAGGCAGAGGGGAGGGGTGAAGAAGCAGAAGCAGGAGAACATGATTGTGGGACACTGCAGCAGCTGGACCTTGAAAGACCAGGCATAACTACCACTCATTCAGCACCGTCATAACTTCGAAAGTTGCTGATGAATGGTTGTTAAGAGAGAACTACCGATAAATAGAGTCTGTTGAGAAAAATAGTTGTGCTAAGAATCCCACTCTGTAAATTGCAGTTTCTTCTATGAAATCAGTGGGCCCCAGTTCTTTCCTTGTATATTTTTTAATAATATGTAATATGGAAAAAAATATAGAAAAAATAATTTCCAATATTTCAAGTGACCTTGGGAAATGTTTTGTAAGGTTCTTTAACAGCATTTAAAGCACAAAGCAATACTGTTGTTGCCTGTTTGATATGCATGAATATAGAGTTAGTAGAAAATTCCCATACTATTAAAGACGTATATAGGGTTCTTATTTTGACACATTCCTGTGCATGTACTGTGTATTGCCTATATTAACTTTATGATTGTTGATATTTGTATTTTCAAACAGCACTGTCTGCCATCACATTACAAAATTTCAATCTTGAATTTGAATTAACTCTATCAGAGGGCACCCATATCACCATCTGAAAAGGATTGGCTTGCTGTCATGACCATTTTCCTGTTCAGTTAAATAACATAATTTGTATATTAAGTTTACAATTTCCTGGAGCCCTCCAGCTGTGCAAATCTTTGTAAAAGATGCTGTTTCTGTTTTAAAGCTTTTGCCTAAAGCATTCCTGTATCGCTTTACCCAAGATTCATGAATAAAAATATTCTTGTGTCTATATGTTAAGGCTGAACACAGAACGATGACAGCTTTCATCTTGGCAGTGATTGTCAACAACTACAACACAGGACAGGTGAGTACAAGTGAAGAAAAAGTGAGGCTTGACTCAGTAACCTTGAATTAAAAAAAGTTTAGACAGCACTGATTTAGTCCTGGGCATTTCTGCCTTGTTCCCCTTGGGAATATCTTGGCTTTAAGATTTATATACTGGCAAAAAATGGATTGCGATATCATGAAGGCCCTTTCTTGCAGGAAGCTTGCCTCCAAGGGAACTTGATTGCCATTTGCCTGGAGCAGCTGAATGATCCGCACCCTCTGCTGCGCCAGTGGGTGGCTATTTGCTTGGGCCGCATCTGGCAGAATTTTGACTCTGCAAGGTGGTGCGGCGTGAGGGACAGCGCTCATGAAAAGCTGTACAGCCTTCTCTCCGATTCAATACCCGAGGTAATCCTCTAGGTTTCAAAACAAATATCTTCCAGCAAGGAGACTTTGTTCTGATTAGCTGCCTTAATTAGCTTCACTGTGTTACAGAGCTGCTTCAGTGGTTGCCTAAAAGGAGGAGCCACACACTGTTTTTTGCAGGATGAGATATTAAAAAGAGCCAACATGCAACTTTTTAAAATGCTTTGGATTAAGCTTGACCATAGGTGGTCCTTGCTTAGCAACTGCCTTATTTAGAGACCATTCACAGTTATGACAGTGATGAAAATGTAATCTTACAACCAGTCCTCACATGTATGATCTTTGTAGGTCTGTAAAGCAAAGGGAAGTGGAAGTAAAGTCATAAGCACAGACATGGTTTCACTTAGGAATCGCTTTGCTGTGTGACTTGTTTGGAGGACTTCCTGCAGTAGGATTGCAATCTGACTCAGTTTATTAACTGTACTGATTTTAATTGATAAATCTAATCATTCGTTCTTTGTTTAGAAGATAAAGATGTTCATTGTAAGGCATTCGTTTTAGTGGGAAAACCAAATATGCCTTTTAAGTACTTCCAACGCTTCAACTAGCAGCAGCAAATTAACAAATGTGCAAATAATTGTGGAGAGCTCTTTAATCAATTAACATTTCTTGTTACTTATTACACTGCATTGAGTACATGTTTAAATTTTTTGAACGAGTTTCCAGTCTGAATATCTCTTTGCCCAAGTATGTCTGATTTTTCAGTAGAAAATCTGATTTGGCCTATTCTTTGCAAAGACTCTTGTGCTCTGTTATGATGTCTTCTCTTTCTCTTGTAGGTACGCTGTGCAGCAGTCTTTGCCCTTGGCACTTTTGTAGGCAATTCTGCTGAGCGGACAGATCATTCCACTACAATAGATCACAACGTTGCCATGATGCTGGCCCAGCTCATTAATGATGGAAGCCCCATGGTCCGAAAGGTATAACAAAGGGGTAGGAGGGACAGATGCTAGTATCATGGCATTATTAGTTTTAAATACAGATATTCCTCAGTTAACAACAGTAATTGAGACTGGAATTTCTGTTGCTAAATAAGTTATGTAGTTGTAAAACATAATGTCACAGGACCATATCAGTTAGGCAGTTAGTTAGAGTTTCCAGCACTCTCTATTCCCCTGTTAAGCGAGGATCATCAAACAAGTCCCAGGGGGCTTGTAAGCAGACCAGTTAGCTGGTAAGTGACTGCTGCTATGTGGAGAAAGGCCTGTGGGTGGCTGACAAAGTACAAACATGGCAGGAACAAGGGTAGCTGCTGCCCTGTGGGCCACCCCCTGCCCCCAAGACATAACCCAAGCACAATGGGACAGGGGGTGGCTGCTGCCAAGTGATGGAGGGTGTGAGCAACTTACTTGAGCAACTTCAGCTTTTCTTGCTGGCTTCCCCACTGA